AACCTTTCTGTGAGCTACCCAATACATTGATTGAGCCACCTTGGCAGGACTCTTGTCCCAAAGCTAGAGGAATCCTTTTCAAACATTAGATTTTCATAATTGGTTATGGTCAGATTAGTAGATATGGTAGAGTAAACTAGATAGTAGAAGAATATCTGATACACTCATCCAACTTTACAGGCATAAATGTGTTTTTTGTGTTTTTTTTTTCATTTAATCCGTTTTCTTTGAACTTTGCTTTTATATCTCTCCAACCCCATTTAATTCACTAGAGGGTGTTTTAACACTGCGGGCAAAGCCTCCACCTCCTGATGAATTTGTTGACTGTTTCCAAAAGTTTAAACATGGATTTAACCTTCTGGTAAGTGAAAGTTATTTATATATGATTAAAAGATAACAAATGAAAAAAAAAAAAACTCTAGTAAAGATAGTCATGATTAAATTAAAAGACTAAATTGTTTTTTGTAGATTTTTGTGTTTTGCTTTTTCATTAATTAGAACAAAAATAATAAAATATGTTTATCTAAAAGACTTTGTAAAAAAAAAAAAAAGACTAAATTATTTTTTAAATAAACTTTCCTAATCTGACTCTGCCCAGGATGATGAGTATGCTAGAAATGAAATGAGGAATAAAGAATTCTTCCTCTGTGTCCATTTTGGGTCCTTTTGAATGTCTGTCTTCTGCTCAATTGCTGTAGTAACACAAGTTGTAAACATTGTCTATTTTTATAAAATTTGCAGGCCAAATTGAAGTCTCATATCCAAAACCCCAGTGCTTCAGATTTGGTTCATTTTTTGTTTACACCATTAAATATGGTAAGTTTTTATTAAGGGAGTAATCATTCTTCATGTGTTCTTTTAACTCCAAGGAATGGATCATTTACACATTTTTTCTTCATAAATTTGTTCTCTTTTGCCATTGAGAATGTAGAATTTGTAAGAAGCTTAAAGCTTAAAATCTTTGTAAGAAGCTTAAAAAATATCATTTAGTGCAAACACTTTGTTTTTTAAATGAGGAAATGGATACTCCTGCCAGAGCTAGGGAAATGAAAAGAGAGAAAGATTCATTGCACACATGTCTCAGTATAAACTAGAGTAAAATAACAGTATAGAATTTGTTCTCTTTCTCACAAAGCTGTCATGAATGGTCTTGAGTGCTCTAGAGATGTCTGGATGACTTCACTCCATGAAGTTATTCAAATACCACATTCCTTTCATTAAGATGTTCCTTACTGATAGGTTGGGTATGTAAAAATTTTAGCAACCAGGAATGCCTTCAAGGCTTCAGCCTAAAACTGAAGCATATGAATATATGAATTAATTTCAAGTTCAAAGGAAAAATCAGGCCCGAGGATATAAATTCAAGAATCATCTATTTATAGAAAGCATTTAAAGCCAAGAATTGGGTGAGATCATAAATGTGAAGAGAAACAAGGACTGGTTTTGCTCTGAGGAATTTCCGCCTAAGAACAGGAAGATGAAAAAGAACTACTAAAGAAGTCTGAGAAGAGGCAGTAAATTAGGTAGAAGAACATCAGGAAGAATGTGATATTCTGTAAGCCAAAAGAAGATAATGTATCCAATAGGACGATTGAGCAACTGTGTCAAATATCTCTACAGTGAAAGTTAGATTACCTTTGTGCCTTTGTAGCTGTCATAAAAAGGCAAAGAGTTCAGGGCAAATAGCTTTGTCTTTAAGAAGATAAATGGAAAAAAAACCACAAAACAATGGCACCAGCATTCTTCCCCAACACTCTTTGCTTCTTATCTGGGTTTCATTATTCATTATAAGTGCCTTCCCTTGACCATTCTGTTTAAAGGTATAATACTTCACAGCCCCCCCACCCCTGCCACACACAGAACTCAGACACCGTATTCAAGATTATGGGGTTTATTAGGGAAGTTAACAGATTCCAGTGCAGGATCAGGAAGTGGTCAGGCATGGTTCTTTTAGTCAGTTTAGCCTGTCCTTAGCTGTACCCATAGGCAGGTGATTCTCTGCCCTCGTAAAGTTACTAAGCTCTGTTAGGGTTGCTGATAAATGCTCAGTGGCATACCATTCCACTATGTACCTCAACCTGAAAGCACTCAGCTCTAGCTCTGTGGGTGAGTAAATCTAGCTCCCCAATTAATGGCACTCGTTCTGCACACTATCCTCCTGTCCAGTCAGCCAGATTCTCAGCTCTGTCTCATCCTCTGGTCCTTGGTTTTACTGCTGCCGCTCCTCTGTCGCTCCTCCCATGTCACAACTTCTTTTCCTGAGTTGAGGAGATTCACTGTGCAGGGCTCTCGGATCCAAAGGATACACTCGACTCCTACCTCTTCTGTGGTGGTACTCTGATTCCCCCTATGCTTCTGAGATGGCTCACTTAAATCCTCATTAGACTTCCAAATTTTTACAGTCACAATTAACACTGTTAACACTCACAGCTAAATCATACCTTCCTGTCAGTATCTTCTCCCAGCTTCTCTTACCTAGACCCATCAAGGCAAAAAATGTTGCTTGGTTGACATTATAATGACTTCAATCCTAGGAAGAACCATAGGAAGCAACTCACTGCATTGCAGTAATTTCTGCCAGTACCCACTTAACATCAATTATGCCCACATAATTCCTCATATGCCCACACCTAATTGCAAATGAATAGTCTCCAGCTGTGGTTTATATGCCATCTAACATGCACAGAAGTTTCTCTTTAAAAGGAAGATGGGGAGAAGGAATACTGTGGAAAAATTAGTTTTTAGTGTGCTTGTTGTGTGATAGGTATGGAGATCTGTGTATTGTACATCCCTGTCCCCTACAAGAAAGCTCTATCTCTTACAGGAGTAGAAATTATTCACATGAAGTATAATTTTTTTAAGTTAATACAATGGTGCATTGGGAGCAATTATCCTTGTAAAGTTGTTGGACAGTTCTGAGAGTTTATTAATTAAAAGGTTATATCACATGTGTCATAAGGAGCTCTGGTAGCGTAGTGGTTACGAATCGGGCTGTGAACCTTAAGGTCAGCAGTTCGAAACTACCAGCTGCTCTGTGGGAGAAAGATGAGGCTTTCTGCTCCTGCAAAGATTTATAGCCTCGGAAACCCTGTTCAGGATCGCTATGGGTCGGAACCGACTCGACGGCACTTAACAACAACAACAACATCACGTGTGTCATGCCCAGGACCCCAGGTGCACATCTCCATTTAAAAATTTTTAATATCTAGGTATGCTCTTTCCTTATAAATTGAATAAAGTAGGCATAATCAATATACTTCTTTCTAGTTTAATTTTTTCTATAGTTGTGTAGAGTTGTTGCTGTTAAGTGCTATCAAGTCAGTTCTGACTCAGTGATCCTGCATATGTTTTCTGAGGAGTGACTGGTGGATTTCAATTGCTGACTTTGAGGTTAGCTATCCAGTGCTTGTCCGACAGCGCCACACCAGGACTCATCGCATATAGTATACAATGGTGAATCAAAAAGCATTGCTACCAGTGTTCCAATTCATAAGTTTATTCAAAACAAAACATGTCTAAATATGTCTATGTCATCAGTGGATAGTTGCAGACAAATTCTCTTAGTAATATATTTGTTTCAATCTCATTAGGCTGCCCTTTAAAAAGATCCAATCAAAACAGTGGCTCCCAAGGGGGATTTGCTGGGCTGGTTAAGTTCAAGACAAAGGTTCTGGTAGCTGTTAATTGAAATTCCCAAAGGAGTAATCTTGATAGCTTCTCTCAGATGTCTTAGGATGATCACAGGGTCTTATACGGAAGACATAAGAAAATTGGAAACAATATTGGTGAGACAAAGGCCAGGAAAGCTGCACTGAGGAATTTTTTCCATCATGCCAGTACACCTGCTCATTCTTCAAGGCAGTAAAGGCTATCCTACAGATTTGTTCGGAAACCTTGCTCCATCCACCCTATATCCTAGATCATAATTTACCCCTTTAATTTTTTTTGCTCCCCAAATTTAAAGAATTTGAAAAGGAACACAGCTTGAATCCCTTGAAGATGCCCAAACTGCCATTTTGATATGGTGGAAATCAAGGAGCTCAGAATTCTTTGGGGAAGAGTTGTTGTTGTTGTTAAGTGACTTGGAATTGTCTCTGACTCATAGTGACCCTGTATAAGGTTTCCGAGGAGCAGCTGGTGGGTTTGAACTGCCAACCTTGTGGTTTGCAATCGAGTGCTGACCTTATAGCGCCACACTAGGAACATCACCTTCAGAAAGTGTATAGACTTAGATGGAGGCTATGTTGAGAATCAATAGCTTCACATTTAAATTTTGTTGTTGTTGTTGTTGTTGTTGTTCAGTAAAGGTTTCTATGATTTTGTCAGTACTTACCAGGTAATTGTGATTTTTTTTTTCCAAGCTTACGCTCTATGTAACCATATTGCCTGACAAAGAAGCTAAGAGTATTAGATGGAATAATAGAGTACACACAAAAAAGTGCTGGGATTTGGGGAACGCATAATAGCAGAAATCAAATAGAACACACATTTGGCCTCACACACAGACAGAATCCAAACAATCCTGAGATAAAAGTCACTCATCTACAGTTCCACATATTTGATAGGTCATTCCACTTTTCATAAGGGAGAACAAGGGAGAGAAGGTTAAAAGAATCTCTTTCTTTTAAGTACCTCCAGATGAAAGACTTTGTTATTTTAGGGAATAATGAGCAGTGTAGATGACTTACATTATAAAAAAGCCAATTGACTATTTATAAGAAGACAATAGCAGTAATGGTAATTGAGTTACGATATTTAGACGATTGCTCTGTGTATCATTTCTGTGACTTTTTAAAGGGAATTAAAATAATAAAATCAAGCTACTAAATTTCTGTAATTTTGATTTAAAGCATTACTTTGGTAATATCTTTCAGAAATGGAACAAATTAAATATTTCTCATATATTTTTCTTGAATAACTGAAAAAGTGAAAATAAGTAGATAGCCAAATAACAAGAGAGGAGCAAATATTATCCTGAATTAGAATATAACATGATTATTGCTTTACAAACATAGGAAAATAAGTAACTATCAGCATGAATGAAGCTGAGCAATAAGACATTACAAGATGATAGTCAAAGGTTTTATCAGTTAATTTATGAATTGTTCGATATGTTGTTGATATGTAGAAAGTATCCGATTTTTACTTCGCTTGTTATTATTGAATAATTATTGCTATGTGCTATATAAGTTCATTTGAAAATGAGATAAGGGCTATCCATATTTAGGAGTCCTGGTATGGTGCTATAATGTAAGCACTGGACTGCTAACCACAGATCAGTGGTTCAAACCCACCAGTCACTTCTGGGAAACCCTATACAGGGACACTGTGAGTTGGAACTGATATGACGGCACTTAATAGTAATTTCCATATTCAAAGAAGCAGCTACCTAATTTATAAAATGTATATCCTTAACACATTTCATACCATCTTAGTTTGAATATTGTTGTTAAGTGCCACCAAGTCAATTCCTACACATAGCTTGGAAACCCTATATAGGTTTTCCAAGGAGCAGTTGATGGATTTCAACAGGCAACCTTGCAGTTAGCAGTCCATTAGTGACCCTACAGTGCTTCATCATGATTCCAGTTTGAATGTTAAGAATATTATTTTAAAAGCAGTTTTTGCTGCCTCTTCTTGTGTTTTCTTCCATTTGCTTTAGCATCTCTGTGTTGGAGAGCAAGTTTCATAGTCTCTTCTGACATCCATTTTGGTTTTTTTCTTCTTTCTTGTCTTCTTAATGACCTTTTTTTTTCTTCCTGTATGATGTGATGTTCTTAATGGTATCCCACAACTCTTGTCATTTGTGTTGTATTCATCAAATCACTTCTTGATATATGATCTGTAAATTCAGGTGGGATATGATCAAGGTCATATTTTCGCTCTTGTAGACTTGTTTTAATTTCCTTTAGCTTCAGCCTGAATTTGCATACAAGAAATTGGTGGTCTGTTCCATAGTCTGTCACTGTCCTTGTTTTGACTGATAATGTGGATCTTTTCATGACCTCTTTCTACATATGTAGTCAATTTGATTTCTCTGTATTTCATCTGGTGAGGTCCATGTGTATAGTAGTATTTTATGCCTTTTGAAAAAGGTATTTGCATTAAGAAGTCATTTGTCTTGCAAAATTTTATCATGTGATCTCCAGCATCTTGTCTGTCACCATCGCTATATTTTTCCAACTGCTGATCCTTCCTTTTTGTTTTCCAGCCTTCGCATGCCAATCACCAGTAATTATCAATACATCTTGATTACATGTTTGATCAGTTTCAGGCTGAAGAAGTTGGTAGAATTTTTCAATGTCATCATCACTGGCTTTAGTGGTTGGTGCATGAATTTTAATAATAGTATTAACTGGTCTTCCTTGTAGCCGTATGGATATTATTCTATCGCAGACAACATTGTACGTTAAGATAGATCTTGACATGTTCTTTTTGATGATGACTGTAACACCATTCCTCTTCAATTTGTCATTCCCAACATAGTAAATCGTGTGCTTGTCAGATTCAAAATGGCCATTACCCATCAATTTCAGCTCACTAATGCCTAGAATATCGATGTTTATGCTTTCTATTTAATTTTTTTACAACTTTCACTTTTCCTAGATTCAGACTTTGTACATTTCATGTTTCAATTATTAATAGATGTTTATAGGTGATTCTCCCTATTTGAGTTGTGCCCCATCAGCAAATGGTTTGTGTCAGCTTGTCGTTTGTGTCAGCCTGATCAATTCTACTCTGAGGGAGTAGCTCCTCCCCAGTGTATTTTGAGTACCTTCCAACCTGAGAGATGCATCTTCCAACACTATATCTTACAGCGTTCTGGTGCTCTTCATCATGTTTCAATATTCTGGTGCTATTTTACTGTGTTTTATTGCTCTTCATAAGGGTTTCAGTGACTAAATATTTGGAAGTAGTCCTTCTCTCCTTCTTCCTCGTCTGTCTTAATCTGGAAGCTCATCTGAAACCTTTTCACCATCGGTGACCCTTCCAGTATTTAAATACTGGTGGCATAGCTTTCAGAATCACAACAACACTTAGGCCACCACAGTATGACAAACTGACAGGTGAGTGGTGGTGAGAAAACAGTTGGGGGTGGTATGTGAGAGTTAACCCTGTGGGGCTAGGAAAAGTTTCCCAGAAGTGGTGGTACCTGGTAGCACCTGAGTAGAGTACCAAATGGTGGTGGAGTGGTTTCTGAGTAATAGGAACATCATATGCAGATAAAAAGGAAGCAAAATTGTATAGTGTGCTCAGAACACCAGCATGACTGGAGGGAGATTGATTCTTGGTCTTGAGCCATTAAAAAAAAAAAAAAAAATCTTCTCTACTTGTGCTCTATCTCTGAGAAAGTAAGTTATTTATGAAGGAGCTCTGGTTTCTGCTCTAGAAGATAACTACCATCTCTTTAGCCAAGACATCACTCCTGAGAAGCTAGTTTTGAGCAGTTTTTGGAATCCACTTATTTTGCTTATCAGAGAGTTGCACCTGTTTATTTGTGTCTGCTGCTCATTAAATTATCCATATTAATCAAGGCAACTTCCTAGAATTAAAATCTAGGGAAAAAAACCCTTAATTAAAAGTACCAATTCTTCTTTGTCTTTCTTCTATGGGTCTCTTTATAGTTTTCTGCTTTTATAGGCACAGCCATAAACTGTTAACTTGAGAATTGTTTCTCTCTATTGTATTAACCTTATAGAGTTGCTTTTTTCAAGTTTGGGACAATACATTTGACAGTGGGTTCCAACTCATAGCGACCTGTGTAGGGTTTCAGAGGAGCAGCTGGTGGGCTCGAACCACTGTCTTTGCGATTAACAGCCTGATGCTTATCCTACAGTGCTACACTAGGACTCCTCACAGTGGATATTCATATAATAAACATCAAGAAGATTTAAACCACCTGACCTAGAATCCTTTGGCTAGTCAGTGTATTTACAGGGAAAATGCAGTCATTTGAAAGTTGTTAAACTATTAAGTTTCCATTTTAATTACTAGGCACCTTAGAGCTAGGCAGAGACTTGTAGTAAGCTATTTGAAAATTCAGTAGTACATTGCATGACATCAAAATTTAATTTGTGTATTTAAAAACAGTGCTTGATTTTTACATGGATTTTAGTCTAAACATTTAAAAATATATACAAATAGTCATTTCGTTGCCAATTTTTACTTTTAGGTGGTACAGGCAACAGGAGGTCCTGAACTCGCTGGTTCAGTACTCAGCCCCCTATTGACTAAGGATACAGTTGATTTCTTAAATTATACTGTCACTTCTGAGGAACGCCAGTTGTGGATGTCATTGGGAGAAGCATGGATAAAAGCCAGGTAAACATACATGACTTTGTATTACTATTTGATATATGTAATACTTTAAGTACTGTTCTTTGGTTTTATATGACTCTATCAGACATTATTGGACCTTTTTATGTATGAAGGATTATGTGTTACAGAATGGAAAAGTCTAAATACTGAAAAAGCTAGAAATTTGAAGTAGCTTCAGAAAAACTCAGGAAAAAATGGAATTGACAGGTAATGGAGTTTCTTCACCAACTTTTTAAAAACTCCTCCTACAGTGGAGGAGCTATAAGTACATACAACATAAGGAACTAGGCCGGAAATTAGGTCTATACAAAATACAACTGAACTGGTCTGCAGGAGCAGTAAGAAAGAGGATGTAGAGAGACGTTTGTTAGTTTTCAAAGAAGAAGCGGCATTTAAAATCAATGTAAGATAGTAATACAATCTAGTATTTGCGTAGTATTTATAGTGTTTTCTAGGCACTGTTCTATATATATAGTCCTATATATATAGTGTTTTCTAGACACACTTCATATAAATAGTTATCTCCATTTTGTAGATGAGGAAACAGACATAGAGACATTAAGACATTTGATTAAAGTCAAATAAACTGGAAGAACTGGGAATTAAACTGTAAACAAAGGAGGTGGGGCTAGAACCAGACCTCCTCTAATTTCACAAGGGGGAAAGGAGAATCAAACTGACATCAGTCAAGGCCCATTCCTATGAGACTGAGGTCAGACGTTCTCCATCCTTCTCTACCAAATCTGGTACCAATCCTCCCTCACACAGTCCTCTACTCAGCTGGATTCGATAATTCATTGCAGTGACCACACAGATCTCAGGCACCATACTCACAGTTATGGGGTTTATTAGAGAACTTAATAGGTTACAATCAGGGTTAGAAATACTCAGGGCACAGTTCTTCCAGTCAGAACAGCCTTTCCTCAGCCATACTTTCAGGTAGACCTCTTTCTGGCCTTTGGCCCCTTGATCTGACCTCTCCCCTGCAAGGACAATACTACAAAGCTCTTTTATGACTGCTGATAAATACCCAAAGGACACTCCACTCCTCAGCCTGAAGGTACTCAGCTCTAGCTCAGGCAGATCCAGGTCCCCAACGACTTTCCTGGAGGCATTCTGCTCCTCAAGTGATCCTCCTGCCCAAAGGCACTCAGCTTTATTTGTTCCATGTCCACCACTCAGAAGTGGATGTTAATAATTAACTTTGTTTAATTACCTTTCAGCAGAATGCATAGGATTTCCACAAATATGTAGCAGAAAAAGGACCTTCCCAATAGAAAGAAAAGTATAAGTACAGGCATGAATTGGGGCAATGAAGAGAATGAAATATGGTTTTGGGTTTAGCTGGAATACTTTGAGTAGTTGGTGATTGTGGAGAAGGGCGGAAGGAGGAATGGTGCTGAGTCATATAGACATGCAGGACTGGGTTATGAAGGTCTTTGGATGCCATGCTAAGCAGCTGGAACATGGTTCTGTAGGTTGTAGAGAACCAATAAGTATGAAAAGGGAATGCTCTAGAATGTTCAGTGTGGTAGTTGAGTATAGTGAGGACAGGGACAAAAAACAGTAGAGGCAGGAAATTCCCATGGATTGTTAATGGTATGGTTGTTGCTGTTAAGTGCTGTTGAGTCAGTTCCAACTCAACTCAACCTTATGACCAGCAGAATGAAACACTGCCCAGTCCTTTGTCATCCTCACAATCATTGTTAAACTTTAGCCCATTGTTGTTGCCACTGTGCTAATCCATCTCATTGGAGGTGGGGAGTCTTCCTCGTTTTCTCTGACCCTCCACCCTTCTCCAGGGATTGGTCCCTCCTGATAATAAGTCTGAAGTATAAGAGATGAAATCTTGCCATCTTGGCTTCTAAGGAGCATTCTGGTTGTACTTCTTCCAACACAGATTTTTTTTTT